AAACATGGTACGGCTGACCACATGGAGAATCGCTAGTAACTTTAGTTTCAAACAAATTGAGTCCCATATGAATTGTGAACTTCCTCATTACTCTGTGCTCCCTGCCTCTCCCCATGCTGGAACCCGTGATCTAGAACATGGTAGCCACTTGGGAAACCAATCCTTGGAGCTGGTAAAAGCAAGGAGTCTTTGAGTCTTGAGTTATCCTTGAAAAGTTTTTTAATTTCTTTCCAATTCAGTCCTGGAAATAGCTGGTTATGGTGGAGAGAATAAGGGGTGAGATGCTGTGAGAATTGAATTCACTATTTCAGCTGCCTAACAGATTGCTTATATGCAGTATGAAAGAGTTGGGCAATTATAATGGAGAACATATAACTTAATTTACAAACTAGACAATGTGGACTGTACAGTCTGCTTGAATAGTGGACTAGTGAACCGTTTTAATGAGCTGGAAAATGGTAAGTACTTCTGTGCCTCCAGTGGCATTCCCTGTAGCTGTGAATTAATTGAGAGCTTACTGAGTGCCAGGCATTATAATCACTACACACTTTTTTGAATATCTCATTTAGTTCTCACAGCAATCCAATGAAGTAGATACTATTATTATTTCTCTGCCATATATAAGAAAACTGGAGAAAGTAAGCTCAAGATTGCCCAACCAGGAAAGGACAGAGCTGGGATTTGAACTCAGGATACCCAAGTGTAAGCCTTTGGGCTTAGCTACTGTAAACCAAAAAGTATCTGAGATAGGCCTTAATCAACTTAGAAGTTTATTTTTCCAAGGTTAAGGACATGCCTGGGAGAAAGAAACATGGAATCACAGAAACGATCTGTGGTCTGTACCTTTCTCCAGAGATAATTTTGAGGGCTTCAGTATTTAAATGGGAAAAGTGGGCTGGAGAGGAAATAGGGAGGGTATGTTAATTCCCATGTTGGAAGAGAAAAGGAGCAGGTAGGGGGATAGTCAATTATGTGTTGAGTAAATTTGCACTTTTCATAGAATAAGGTGAACACGGAGTAGCTACGTGTGGAGATATTTAACCTTTTATCTGTAGCCTGCATAGGAACAAAAGGAAAGGCAGCTTCTTGCATAACTCAGCTTTCAGCTTTATTTTTTCCTCTTGGCAGAGTGAATTGGGGTCCCGAGTTTTTTATTTTCCTTTCACGTTACAAAGCTAAAGTGCTTCCCACTTTTACCCTCCTGTAAGAGATAAACACTTTTTCTTCTCTTACACAGTCAACACAACTCAGAACATTTCCCCTCTGGAAGTGATTTTTCCCCATATACCAGGGAGTTTTCCATCAGACACCAACTGGGTGTTCTATAATTCAATTCATATGTGACATTCCTCCCTGGAAATAGCATCAGATCCCACAAGTTAAGGGCCCAGACCACAAGACTTTCCTCACTTCAGATGCCTGTCACAGTCCCCAGGTTATGACCTGTACTTCTGACCATTTGGCTATAAATTGGGGGTTTTTATGACTCCCCTCCTTAGGTTCCATTAATTTGCTAGAGCGGCTCATAGAATGCAGGGAAACACTTTACTTACATTTACTTATTTATTATAATAAAGAATATTACAAAGATCCAGGTGAAGAACCAGATGGAAGAGATGCATAGGTCAAGGTATGTGCTTCCATGGCCTCTGTGTGTGTGCCACCCTCCCCAAACCTCCACATGTTCAGCAACCAGGATGCTCTCTGAACCCAGTCCTTTTGGGTTTTCATGGAGACCTCATTATATAGGAATGATTGATTACATCATTGACCACTGGTGATTAACTCAACCTTTAGCAACTGTGAGTGCCTCTCTCCTCCCCCTTGTTAGCAGGGTGGGCAGGTGGGGCTGGAAGTTCCAATCCCCTAATCACAAGGTTGGTTCCCTGGCAACCACCTCCTTTCTGAGGCTATCCAGGAGCACCCTCCAACCCCTTACAGCAGTCATCTCATTAACATACAAAAGACACCTCACTTTGGAGATTCCAAGGCTTTTAGGAGCTGTGTGCCAGGAATCAGGGAACCAAGACCAAACATGTTTCTTGTTATAAATCATAATATCACACCTCTCATCCTTCTTGCCCATTATTTCTGGTTAATTTTCATACTGTTTGCTTCCTAACTGAAAAATTTTCTATGATTCATCACAGACTGAGGAGGAAGCATAATGCTTTTATCTTGGCCTCCGTGGTCCGTGCAGCCTGGGCCATTGTTATTCTCATTGCTTCCCCAGGGAAAGCCTTCCTGTAGCCAGACTGTTCTTGGGGTTTCCTAACAGAAGACTTATCTCTGCAAGTGGCTTTCTGTTGTTACTCAGCCTAGAAAACCCTTGCTATTATTTCTAGCCACAAATTAATTTAATTCAACAAACATTTATTGCAGGATGTATCTGGGCCAAAGAGACCTGATCCCCTTAGAAATTTCCAGAGCTGATAAGCCATGGTCCTTGTCCTTCAGGGGATCACAGCAATAACGTGAGGTTCCATTGCAGCCTTCTATGACCTCATTAAATGTCAGCCAGATTTGCCTCTGAGGTCTGAGAGCATTTAATCACATATGGCCTTGAATTGCTAGTTAGCCTTTCACGTATACTGGAATGTTACTACTCAAAAGTGTTTTTATTGTCAATTATATCCTAAAACCAGGATAGAATATTTTATTGGATTGCAAATAAATTTGTGTCATGTGTTTTACCAGCATAAAAAAGAAAAAGACACTGTAATTTACAGGGTCAGGAAACACTATCTTAAACCTGGCTAGACTGTTAAGTAATTTAAGGGAAAAGAAGAATCGCTGTTTTCTCCAAACGTTTTGCATCCCACCAGGTGGAGAAGGATCCTGGAACTTAAGAACAGCCTAAGCATGTGCAGGGAGGAAACGACACAATTCAGGGATTTTTCATTTAATGAGGCACCCAGTGTAACTAATACCATGACAGGGAAATGGTTGACTGAAATTCCTCACCCTGTTAACCCAGCACACTCAAAGTGCGCTGGAACACCTTCCAGAAAGGCCGGCCTCAGAAGCACGTCAGCTTCAGGAGCAGCAAGCATAGGCCACGCCGGTGTCTGTGGGGGGTTGTGAGGGGGAAGGTCCCTGGACTTCTGCATCATACCCTGACAGCTATGCTTCCCATCGAATGAGAAGAAAGGGAGGCTACTAACTGAGAGGTGATGTCATTCTTTTGTCCTCTATCTGTAAAATGAAGAATTGGACTAAGTGAGTTTAAAGTTCTTTCTCTTTTCTTATGATGATGGTATTCTGTTAATAGCTTCATGCTTTTCCCTGGTGTGTATAAAACAAAGCATGCTTGCTTTGTTATAATTTCACGGGCTCCCATGCACAGCAGAGCTTATAGCCTAGAATATTCACTTGTCATCCATTTTCTCAGAACTTTCCTCCTTAGACTATGCTGTGAAATAGCAGTTTTGCTTTTCTTAATATCTTTTTCACTTCTTATGGATTTCCAAACACAGTGTTCCGTTTGAAATGGCTTAGCCCCTAAAACTTTGGAAACTCCTTCGTGTCCTAAGCTGAGCTCCTGTCACCATTCAGAACTCCTGTCTCACACACAGCCACCAACACACACATTCAGCATCTGGACAACAGCAACAATCTCTATCATTTGCGTGACCACTGTATTCTAGTGGGCTTCTGTACACTGTGAGACTTTGTAAATATGATCTCTGGTCCTTATAATATCAATAGGATTGCAAGCATTATTATTTCCATTTTACATATGAGAACATTGAGGCCTACAACGTTTAGGAGACTCAGGGTGAGCTAGTGAATAGCTAGCTGGCACAACTCAGGTTCACTTGAAATCAAAGTCAATAACGTTTTTAGAAGAAAAGCTGGGGGACAACAGGAAGAAGGGTTGCCCTCTCTGAGTGCATTTTCTACAAACGGTGCCTTCTGGATAATTTTGTTGCCACAATGGAAAGACATTAGAGGAGGTATGTGTAAACAAGAGTGCAGAACTTATAGGTATTGTGGTCTCAAGGCACCTCTTCCGTGAACCCACCTTCAAATCAATGACACAGGTCCTGCCCCTGCATCTTCCTCCCCCAAGCTCGTTTCTCATAGATTTTACATCCCGTCGGTGCCATCTTCTACTGCACCAACTGGGAGATTCACAGGTGGCCATTGTGAGTGGAGAAACCTGTTCCTAATGCCTGTGACTACGTGCTCAAGTGTGGACATGGGCTGTTGGATGTTACAGCCTAGACTGAAGATAGCCATTCCCTACCCAACCCTGTGGTGAATCATGGTATAAAGTGGAATAAGCTTTCCTGATGTGAACAGAGCTTCTAATTAACCTCCTCTATATACTGTGTTTAGGTTTTGCAAATTAGATCTTTTTGAAGTGAAGTACACCTTTATTCTAACTAACATATGTATTCATAGGTGAGTTCCACCTATCCAGTTTTATAAACCTTACCTTACATCTCTCCGACCTTGAATGGCCCTGAGAAAGGTCCCACCAGGGCTGCTGGTGTCCAGCAGTTGGGAAGTTACAGCCTGGGGAGGATGTTGGGCTGTGGTGGGGAGAGCTTGTCTTGTAGTAGAGGCTACAGCTATGGCTCATCTGTGATTTAGCCAGCTGCTGCAGCTGCTGAAAGGCTTTCTTGCATGGAAAAACTATTTCATAATCTCCAGATCCCTTTTTGGTAGAGAGAGGTTTCAGTCCTGCAAAGCTGGCCTCTTCCAGCAATCTGTCCTATCATGGGGGTCCCATCTCTGAGGCCTTCCTCCCATTCCTGTGTCTCAGCACCTGATCCCAATCACTGGAATGGTTAAGGAGAGCAAGCTCTGTGAAGACCCCCTCTCAGTTGAGTTGCTGTGGTTGGGGACCTGAGAGAAAAGGGAAGGCAGGGGGCTGAGAGCTGTACTGGTACTGTGAGCTGTACTGGTACTGTGAGCTTGGAGAAGTCACATCTCCTCTCTTAAACCTCCTTAAACCTCCAGGTCTCCTATAACCCTAAGCATAATATGATTCAGTTTTACCTTCCTACTCTTCATGCCCAGGATGCTGTTTCCTGGTTCTTCTCCATCCCTTGAGAGCTCTGGGACTGGTGGGGGAGAAAGGAGCTACAGGGCTGGTTGCTGCTTCCTCTTTCCACCCATGTGGACGTGATGGATCTTTCCTTTATTTGTTGACTTTTATTTATTTATTATTTTTATTTATTATTATTATTTTTAGACTGAGTCTTGCTGTGTCTCCTAGGCTAGAGTGTGGTGTGTGATCTCGGCTCACTGTAACCTCTGCCTTCTGTTCAAGCCATTCTGGTGCCTCAGCCTCCTGAGTAGCTAGGATTATAGGCGTGCACCACCCTGCCTGGCTAGTTTTTTGTATTTTTAGTAGAGACAGGGTTTTGCCATGTTGGCCAGGCTTGTCTCCAACTCCTGGCCTCAAGTGATCCACCCAGCTCAACCTCCCAAAGTGCTGGAATTGCAGGTATGAGCTGTTGTGCCTGGCTGTGATATATCTTTCAACACACACAGGCAGCACCAACCCCACAAAGCCACAGACCTCTACTGTGGGTCCCAGAAACAATGGTAGCAAGCACAGATCTGGAGCAGGGAGATGGGGTGGGAGGCACTGCTGGGATATGGGGTTGTACAGATGTGGACACTTTTGAGAAGGAGAGGGCCATGAACTTTAAGAGCAGGACTGCTAGGATGTTCTTCCTGCACCCTTAGTTTTCCATTTCCACTTTGTCACTAATTTCCCCAGATTGAGATGTTGGTTTTGGATGGCTCTTGTCATCTCTTCCCTTTGACATGCAGGATCATATCTTGCACCGAAAGTTGTAACAGGATGCGGAGAGATTTCTCTCTATCATTGCACTCTTTTCCTTGACTGTCCTCTTAGAGCCTGCTAGAGCCTCCAGAGGCCCTGGCCATGGGGTCAGATAATGGATGCCTGCATCCTAATTGTCCCCCCTGTCATTCCTGGAGGCCCACAAGTGGCAGACTATTGTGAGACTATTGGCTCCGAGCTCATAGTCACAGTGAGACTATTGTCTCACAAGGCAATAGTTCGAGACCAGTTTCTCTCTTTAGTTCCTGTCTATTACTGCTGCTGGATTTCAGGTCACAGTAACCTTTCAGATCACACTTTACTTTATTTATGATTTATTATTATTATTAGTTTCAAAGGAAAATGCTATTGATAGTGCTGCTTAGGACATAGAGGTAAAAAGTGGAAATGTACAGTCTTTGTTAGATAAGAATGAGTTCAAATCTTGACTCTACCACTTAATGTATCCCAAAGCAAACTCTTGGTCCTCTTCCTCTCCCGACTCCCTACTGCAAACGCTTCCCTCCCTCAGCTATCCCTCAGATATCTATATATATAGAGATATAGATGTCTCTATAAACGGCCACCCCATTTTGCAAATTACTCAGGCCACAAGCCAACAAATCATTCGTTGTATCCCACATCAAATCTATCAGCAGATTATGACAGTTTTACCTTTGAAAGCTCCAAAGCCAGCCTCCTCCATGACCTTCATTACTGCCGCAGTTGCCTGCACCCCTGCCATCTTGCATGTACACCATTGAAGCAGCCTCCTAGGTGACCTTCACTCTTGGTTCACTTGAGTCAGTATTCTCCCCAGAAACCGGAGGGATCCTTTGATAGCTCAAGTCAGATAAGGTCATTCTTCTTTTCAAAGCCCCCAGAGACTTCTCACGTTACTTAGTGTAAAAGACAGTGTCATTACAATGGCCTTCAAGGCCATCCATAGTCCACTGTCCCTCTCACTTTCCTGGCCTCCCTTCCAGCCACTTGACTTAACTCTGTCTAGATGCACTGGCATCCCTGCTGTTTCCTGAATACATGAAGCAGGACCTTGGGTTAGCAGGGACATGTGTAAAAGAAAAAATGAGGGACTTTCTAAGGTCATGGGCTAAGGATATGTTCTTGGGAAGCGCAGAGTCTAGGACATAGCTGGCATATTGTTCTGGGTTAGTTCTTTTTGAATATAAACTCCACATTGGCAGGGATTTCTGACTGTTTTGCTCAGTGATAACTCCTAAATGTCGTTACATTCCCTGGCACATAATGGATATTCAGTGAAGTGCTGTTGAATGAATGAACTGAGTTTTGGAGATTTGTATTGGAAAAGAGAGAGAGGAGCATGTGTAGATATAAGTGCCAGGTCTGGAAACTGTAATTGGAAGGAATGAATAGGGGAGGCGAAATTGTTTTGATTTGAGGAGAACTAGGGAGGGGAATGATGACTCTTCTTGAATACTTGGTCTCCTGGAAGGGGAATTAGATGTATTCTCTCTGTCTACCTAGGGTAGACAATTGAAAGGAGTTACATTTGAAGGAGTTTTCTCTAATATGTTTAGTAGTCTGAAAATGGAAAATGGAATGCATTGTGTTGTCTGTTGGAGAGTCCTTTCTCAGTTTAGGGTTCAAGCAGAAGCCAGTTGTCCACCTGTCACTGATAATGGAGAGACCCCCTTGCCTTGCATAGACCATTGAACTAGGTCACCCAGGTGAACTAGATCTTTAACAATCTATGATCTTGACCAACCAACTGGTTTCTTTGATTTTTCTTTCTCATGTATTTTTATGAAGAAATTGACAGTCCAACCAATGTTGTCACGGATCGAGTGACTGAAGACACAGCAACTGTCTCCTGGGAACCAGTGCAGGCTGTCATAGACAAGTATGTGGTGCGCTACACCTCTGCTGATGGGGACACCAAGGAAATAGCAGTGCACAAGGATGAGAGCAGCACTGTCCTGACGGGCTTGAAGCCAGGAGAGGCATACAAGGTCTACGTATGGGCTGAAAGGGGCAACCAGGGGAGCAAGAAAGCTGACACCAACGCCCTCACAGGTAACAGAAGGACGGGAGCATAAAGTTTTCTCGTGGCAGGGAGAAGGTTGATTTTTGAATCAGGAGGTCATTGCTCACCTGGCGTCAGCTCTTTTGTTTGCAGGAGTGGGGAGGAGGGTTGCAAAACCAATTTTGATTTTCATAATTATGTATTTTTTTATTTTTTGACATCAAACGAAAGAGATCAGCCTTTTCACTTGATGCAGAAGGTCATACTTTTTTGAGTTGGAATTCTGTATGCAACCCCCTCAGAATAGGGTAACACTTTCTAATTTTCATTTTTTAGTGTGAAAACTCAAAACACTGGGCTGACAGTGAATTTGAATGCTTATCTCAGTTTGCAGTGGCTGTACAGGCACTTTGCATATAATCTGGAGCTCTCTTTTAGACCGTGGAAATAGTTTGCATCCTGAGTCAACATTTACTAAATGGACCAATTCTTCCTTTAAGCTTTCAGAAGCTGCGAGGGTTCTCTTACTTCACCCAGTCATTCTGCTCAGTTTGTGCCTGTAGGGGTCCTGGGACTATGCTGGGACATAGCCCAGCCATTCTTTCTGCTTAAATCCTCTCCTGGTGCTTCTCTGAATTTAGAGCAGCCTGATCCTGGAGCCCACATGAGGTTCCAAAACACCTGGCAGGAAATCAGAGGGAAAGGCTTCGCTTATTGTTTGCATTCTGTTCTGGACAGTCACTGAGTATAGAGACTCTCAGAGAAGCAGAGAGGTGGTTAGGAATATAGTTTCAGAAGCTTGACTGTCCAGGTTTTAACCCCAGTTCTGCCATTGACTAGCTGAGTGGCTTTGGGCAAGTTACTTTACTTACACTCCTGTTTCTTATGGCATAAGTGAGAACAATGATTTTTTAGAATGTTAGTCAGTATTTCGCCCTTGAAAGATTTCGTGGTGCACAGCCTCCTAGATCCATGTGGGCCTCAATAGTTGACCTCTTCTTCAGGGGAGCAGAGAAGATATTGACAGTAAGGATGGTGATATCTAAATCTGTTTAAAGTCAAAGTCAGCAAATTTCTGTAAAGGGCCAGATAGTAAATATTTTCGGCTTTGGGGGTCCAACAGTCTCTATTGCAATTACTTAACTTTGCCATTGGAGTGTGAAAACAGCCACAGACAATGATGTGTAAATGGACTGGTGTGACTGTGTTCCAATAAGACTTTATTGATAAAGATTGGCAGTGGATCAGATTTGGCCTGTGGGTTGTAGATTGCCGCTCCTGGTTTACGTTACACCTGACTCTCTTTTTTACTAGGATTCTGAGTGTCATGAAAAGAGCATTTGGGTCGGCATTTTTTGTTTGTTTGTTTGAGATGGAGTCTTGCTCTCTCACCCAGGCTGTAGTACAATGGCGTGATCTCGGCTCACTGTAACCTCCACCTCCTGGGTTCAAGCAATTCTCCTGCCTCAGCCTCCCAAGTAGCTGGGATTATAGGCACCCACTGCCACGCCCGGCTAAGTTTTATATTTTTAATAGAGACAGGTTTTCATTGTGTTCCCAGGGCTTGTCTCGAACTCCTGAGCTCAGGCAATCCACCCGCCTTGGCCTCCCAAAGTGCTAGGAAATACAGGAGTGAGCCACCGCGCCCGGCCCAATTTTGAAACAGAGGAAGTTGGAATAGAGAAGAACCTTCCCTTTTCTTAGGCAGGGATTGTGTGAGCAGCAGGGAACCTCTAGGGGGTGGCATTGCCACTGGGAAGGGGTCAGACCAGAGCTGAGCTCTGGGGGCACAAACATGAAGGACGTGGTTCATGCCCGTATGACATTCACAATCCTCTGGGTAGAGAAGACAAGTGAAAAAGATAAAGGACAGTGAGTTATGTTCTAGAGGAAACAAAGGTCCCTGGAGCTATGGGGAACTGAAGAAAGGGGACCTACCACAGACTGGGACAGGATAGGGGTCATGCAGGCTGTGGGAGGAGGTGACACCTGAACAAAGCCTGGAAGGACGGGTGGGAGTTAGCACGGGAGGCAGCATATGCAGAGGCTAAGGTGTGAGAATATGACAGGTTAGGTCCATCTCAAGGGGTTTTTATGGCGGGCCGGTCTGTGTGTTTGGTGCACTAGTGAAGGATGAAGCCAGCTCAGAATCCTGGGTGCTAAATCATTTGTCCTCATGTCAGATGTCTGTGGTGCTTGCTGAACTCTGCTCCCTAGGGTGAGTCACTGCACGTGGCTGTGCATTCCACCATGCTGGCCTGTCCCCCTCGGCAAGTGGTCCTGTGCAGATATGAAATGCAGGTACCGTTACAAAAACTACAGCCTTTTTTGAGGAGGTAGTTTCTGAAAGAGGATAATAAAGGCATGCTAACCACACACATAATTGCTTGGATTTTTGACTCCCAAAAGATGTACGTTTTGAGGAGAAAGTGGTATTTCATGCCTCACATGCCATTAATAATAGCAACTTATATTTAAGCATTTGCTATGCAATATCTCATTTACTATTCACCATAACCTATGAGGTAGGTACTGGTATTTCTTTCTTCATAGAGTTGAGGAGACAGACACTTAAATTACATGGCTTGTCCAAAGTTAGCCACCAGGAAGAGATGGAGCCCAGGTTCTAACCCAGTTTAATCACAGAGAAACCCAGACAGATTCTACAAGTTTTATTCTTTTTATTAGCCCAGACCTCGGATACTATCAATTAAAAAGTCTCCTGGTTCCCTGGCCACAGATATAATGTTTTATACGGAAAGAACTGATGGCTACTACTTCTAGGATATTTTTCTTCTTAAAGAACATATTAGAGCAGATGCAGAGGTTTATTCAGTATAATTGCTTTCTAGTACAAGGAGTCAGGAACTAGAAGAATATATTATATAAATCCAGGGTAAAGGAGAAATTTGAATGTGAAGACCAATTCTTTTTATTCCAAAGCAACTTACAGGAAAAGTTTATAGAGTTGATAAAGATGCTGGCTTTGTTTGAAAACTCCACTTCTTATTAAATGTTATTAGCCTATTACTGGAATTTCAGACCATTTGCGTAATTAGACCTTTACATTAACTCAATCATTGACATATTAGAGACTCTGACATTTGTTGAGGTTATGATTTTGACTGTGTATGTGCTATCTTTATGGAATTAGAGGGTTGTAAAGGCTACATTCTTCTTTCATCTCTCTCTTAAAGAAATTGACAGCCCAGCAAACCTGGTGACTGACCGGGTGACTGAGAATACTGCCACCATCTCCTGGGACCCGGTGCAGGCCACCATTGACAAGTACGTGGTGCGCTACACCTCTGCTGACAACCAAGAGACCAGAGAGGTTCCGGTGGGGAAGGAGCAGAGCAGCACTGTCCTGACAGGCCTGAGGCCAGGTGTGGAGTACACAGTGCACGTCTGGGCCCAGAAAGGGGACCGAGAGAGCAAGAAGGCCAACACCAACGCCCCAACGGGTAACAAAAGAGAGATGGTCAATTGGAATTGAGTTTTGAGCTTGTGGATTTGAATGGGTATGGTATCAAATGATGTGGCCTGAGCAGAGAGACTTTGCAATTAGAAGTCTTAAAGATGAAAGAAAGACTGAGCTCTCGTGGTGATGGCAGTGGGCTGCTCTTCCCTAACAGTGATGAACTGTTCATGAGACCACTTGGCCCACTGGAAGGGAAAAGTAAAGTCTTATAGTAACAATGCTTTTAGCAGAAGATGTGTACAGGATCTGGTCATTGCAATGCTTGTGATAATACTTTTAGAGTGCTCATCAGTGCAGCAGCCCTTGATAAAATGTTAAGTTAGGAACCCTAAACGTCATGGCAGCTGTTTAATTGGAGGTTGTGATGTGCCATGTGCTTCTGAGAAGACATCGTTCCTCCCACATTTGAGGGAACTGAAAGCCGAGAAAGAATGCCTCATTTATAATGATTCCTCCTTTGAACTTCAGAACCAAGGGCTACTTTCTCCTTAGACTCCCAGCGGAGACTCAGGATGGGAATGCCATTGCCTTGTTCTAAAAGAGCTCGGGAAGATGAAAATGATGAAGATGGAGGGATGGATGTGTCTTCTATGGCTTCAGAGCTTAAACCTTTCCAAATATTTTCCTTCCAGACATTGACAGCCCCAAAAACCTGGTGACTGACCGGGTAACAGAGAATATGGCCACTGTCTCCTGGGACCCGGTGCAGGCCACCATTGACAAGTACATGGTGCGCTACACCTCTGCGGATGGAGAGACCAGGGAGGTTCCGGTGGGGAAGGAGCACAGCAGCACCATCCTGACGGGCCTGAGACCGGGCATGGAGTACATGGTGCACGTGTGGGCCCAGAAGGGGGACCAGGAGAGCAAGAAGACCGACACCAAGGCCCAGACAGGTAAGGAGTGTGCATTATCGCTGTACCGGTGCCATGCTCAGGGTCTGTCTACATGGGGTTTTCTTCTCTGATCTTGGCATAAAGGGAGGCTTTATGGAAGAGCAGGTTGGTATCCTCCCATAATACATTGTGTACCCCTCACTTCCTTTTACTGGCCTCTCTTAGAATGCCTCAGTGGTGGTCTCCAAACTCTAGTCTTTAAAGATGGCTGACCACTGCGCATAGTTCTTTGTTTCTTCTTTGCCTGAGTACCTTTGTCATTAACACACTAACTGCTTCACCTTGACAAGGAATAAATATTAAGAAGTAACTATCATGCTGAGGGAGCCAGACTTACGGATTGTGATCAAAAAACACCTTAAAAAAAAAAACATTCCTCACCTGTTTAAACCCTTTGCAAGCTTGTTTTTGTTCCTGCCCTCCGAATGAATGTTTTAGGCAGAAATAATAACAGTGTTTCATTAGCTAAAAATAAGCAAATATCTAGTCATTTTTAGTTCCCCAGATGTATAATTTTAGTAATTATGTCATTTTCATGCAATAGTCCCTACTTCCCTACATGAAATCTCCTCTCTCTCAGCTTGGGCCACCTGTGGGCTAGCTGCCTGCTCCAGGCAGGGGACATGCAGTTTCTCTTGTATTTTCTGCTGTGTACCTCAAGCGCTGCTCTTCTAGCTTGTTGTATGCAGTTTCTCACCCATTTATCTTTGGCGTTGCTGGGAGAGGTAAACTGATGAGAGGTGAGGAGTGAGGATGGGGAGAGGTGAAGGGTCAGGAAGGAGGAGAAGTGAAGGGTCAAGGGGAAGGAGAGGTGAGGGTTCAGGAGGAGGAGAGGTGAAGGGTCAGGAGGAGGAGAGGTGAGGGTTCAGGAGGGGGAGAGGTGAGGGGTCAGTAAGAGGAGGGGTGAGGGCTCAGGAGAAGGAGACGTGAGGATTCAGGAGGGGGAGAGGTGAGGGTTCAGGAGGGGGAGAGGTGAGGGTTCAGGAGGGGGAGAGGTGAGGGTTCAGGAGGGGGAGAGGGTTCAGGAGGGGGAGAGGTGAGGGTTCAGGAGGGGGAGAGGTGAGGGGTCAGGAGGGGGAGAGGTGAGGGGGAGAGGTGAGGGGTCAGGAGGGGGAGAGGTGAGGGGTCAGTAAGAGGAGAGGTGAGGGTTCAGGAGGGGGAGAGGTGAGGGGTCAGGAGGGGAGAGATGATGGGTCAGGAGGGGAAGAGTTGAGGGAGTCAGGAGGGGACGAGGTGAAGGGTCAGGATGAGGAGAAGTGAGGGGTCAGGAGGAAGAGAAGTGAGGGGTCAAGAGAGAATAGAGGCCAGGGGTTAGGGAGGAGGGAGCCAGGGGTCGTGGAAGGTCATGCTTGACTGTAACAGGTGTTTGGGCCTGCCCTGGAGCCTGACGAGTGCTAAAGCTGACTCCGTCATGAAGCATTTCTGTGCTCCTCTTCCGCTGTGGGTCTCTCACTGTAGGCAAATGCCTGTCTTCCACTGGTCTCTTACTTCCTTTCCTCTGCCAATACATCAGGGGTTCCCCCAGCGTCTCTCTGGTGGGGTCGCCCTGCCCCTCTAGGTGATCCTCTTGGACAGCTTCTAACACAACCCCAGGCCTACCCTGCTCTACTGGGCCCAAGTCTGGTCCATGGAGAACCTGCATGCATCTTTTGTCCATTCAACCAGATGCGCAACTCTTTTGCAATGCTACAGCCTATCTTGGCTCTGTGTCGCAGCAACCAGCTATTTCCTTACCTCTTAGATATTTTAGCATATGTCAGACACCAGCCCATATGGATCCCCAAGCTTTGGGTGGGGCTTCTCACCCTTGGCACTATTGCTATTTTGGGGTGGATAATTCTTTGTTGCAGGGGTCTGTGTTGTGCATTGTAAGATGTTTAGCAGCATCCCTGATGTCTCCCCCTATCCCACACTGAGTTGTGACAACCAAAAGTGTCTCCAGACATTGCTGATTGCCCCTGGTTGAAAACTGCTGCTCTAGGGTGTACAAAACAAAGTCTGTCAGGGATTCTATTGAAAACTGCTTATTCAAGGCTTGGGCCTCACCCATGGGACTCACAGTGTATCTTTTTCCAAATAAATCCCTTCTTTAAGTCCCACCTCATTGACTTCTCCAACATCTTTTATAGGGTGAAAACTGTTGGTCAGCCAAGGGTCACAAAACTGTTGTTGATCTTGCTTTGACTATGGTCCTTCAGGTTGGAATGTAGATACCCATTTTCTTGGGGTTACAGCCTAAACCAACATGTGTAATAGGATGTGTGAGCAAGTGACTTTGGGAAAATGACTTTTGTAATGAATTATTTAGAACAAAGAAATGCTAGTTGTTTGTTTTTGTTTTTGTTTTTGGTGAATGTATTTTTAAGTATCTTCTGTGTATGTGGTATGGAGGAGCATAATTTCTTGTATTTATAATGTATCAACAAGCTGGTCTTAATAATGATAGCTTATGGTCATTGGGCATCTACTCAGTGCTAAGAACTCATAATAGACATTTCTTTTTTAAAAAAATTGATACATAATAATATACATATTTATAGGTACATGTGATATTTTAATACATGCTTGCCATGTGTGATGATCAAATCAGGGTAATCAGGATATCCATCAGCTCAACATTCCACATTTCTTTGAGTTAGAAACGTGTCAAATTTTCTCTTCTAGCTATTTTGAAATGTACAATAAATTGTTGTTAATAGTATCCTACTGTGCTATCAAGCACTAGAATGTATTTCTTCTATCCAACTGTATTTTTAAACCCTTAAGCCAACCTGTGTTCATTCCCCTTACCCCTACACTTCCTAAGCTCTGGTAACCATCATTTAATTCACAGCTTCCATAAGATCAATTTTTTTAGCTCCCACATATGAGTAAGAACATGCAGTGTTTGTGTTTCTGTGCCTGGCTTATTTCACTTAACATAATCACCTCTAGTTCGATCCATGTTGCTGCAAAGGAAAGGATTTTATTCCCTTTTATGGCTGAATAGTATTCCATTGTGTATGTATGTATGTGTGTGTGTGTGTGTATATAATGTATATAATGTATATGCATTGTATATTTATATATGTTATTAATTAATATAATATATATAATGTTATACAATATATAATATATACACACACACACACATACATATATATATCACAATTTCTTTATCCATCCACTAGTGGACAGTTAGGTTAATTCAGTATTTTGGCTATTATGAATAGTGCTGCAGTAAACATGGGCATGCAGATAGCTCTTTGATATACTGATTCCTTTTTTTTTGGATGTATACTCAGCAATGAGGTTGCTGGATCATATGGTACATCTACTTTTAGTTTTTTGAGGAAACTCCATAGCTTTTATCCATAGTGGCTGTGCTAATTGCCATTCCCACCAGCAGTGAACTAGTATTCCCCTTTCTCCACATCCTCACCCAGTACCTGTTATTGTTTGTCTTTCTGATAATAGCAGTTTTAACTGGGATGAGATGATATCTCAATGTGGTTTTGATTTGCATTTCCCTGATGATTAGTGGTGTTGAACATTTTTTCATAAACGTTTGTTGGCCATTTGTATGTCTTCTTTTGAGAAAAGTCTATTTAGATCATTTGCCCAATTTAAAATAAGATGATGATGATGATATTATTATTTTGCTATTGAGTTGTTTGAATCCCTTATGTATTCTGTTTATTAATACCTTATCATACAGACAGCTTGCAAATAGTTTCTCCCATTATGTAGGTTGTCTCTGCATTATTTTGATTATTTCCTTTGCTGTGCAAAAGCTTTTTAGTGTGATGTATTTCCATTTGTCTATTTTTGCTTTTGTTGCCTGTGCTGTTGCAGTCTTACCCAAAATATCTGCCTAGACCAATGTTCTAAAGTGTTTCCCCAATGTTTTCTTCTGTAGTTTCATAGTTTCAGGTCTTACATTTAATTCCTTAAGCCATTTTAATTTAATTTTTGAATAAGGTAAGAAATAGAGGTCTAGTTTTATTCTTCTGCATATAGATACTCAGTTTTCCTAGAACTACTTATTGAAGAGCCTGTTCTTTCCCCACTGAATGTTCTTGGTTACTTGTCAAAAATCAGTTGGCTCTAAATATGTGGATTTATTTCTGGGTTCTCTATTCTGTTCCATTGTGTCTATGTGTCTGTTTTTATGTCAGTACCATGCTGTTTTGTTTACTATAGCTTTGTAGTACATATTAAAGTCAGCTCGTGTGATGCCTCCAGCTTTATTTTTGCTCAGGATTTCTTTGGCTATTTGGGGTCTTCTGTGGTTCCATATGAATTTTAGAATTGTTTTTTCTACGCTGGGTGCAGTGGCTCATGCCTGTAATCCCAGCACTTTGGGAGGTCAAGGAGGGCAGATCATTTGAGGTCAGGAGTTCAAGACCAGCCTGGCCAACATGGCAAAACCCCGTTTCTACTAAAAATACAAAAAAAAAAAAAAAAAAAAGAAAAGGCTTTCCGCGGTACCTCACGCCTGTAATCCCAGTACTTTGGGAGGCCAAGGTGGGTGGATCACCTGAGGTCAGAAGTTCGAGACCAGCCTGGCCAACATGGCAAAACCCTGTGTCTACAATAAATACAAAAATTAGCTGAGTGTGTTGGCAGGTGCCTGTAATCCCAGCTACTTGGGAGGCTGAGGCAGGAGAATTGCTTGAATCTGGGAGGCAGAGGTTGCAGTGAGCCAAGATCATGCCATTGCACTCCAGCCTGGGCAATAAGAGCAAAACTGTGTCTCAAAACAAAAACAAAAAAAATTAGCTGGGCATGATAGTGCATGCCTGTAATCCCAGCTACTGGGGAGGCTGAGGCAGGAGAATCACTTGAACCCAGGAGAGACGGTTGTTGCAGTGAGCTGAGATCATGCCACTCCACTGCAGCCTGGGAGACAGAGTAATACTGTCTTTAAAAAAAAAAAAAAAAAGAATTGTTTTTTCTAAAGAATGTCATTGATAATTTTGATAAAGATTGCATTGAATCTATAGATTGCTTTTGGTAGT